GTCCTAATTCATGTGTTCGTCAGTCTAACTAGCCTTCAAGTGAGTTCAGTCTACTTTTGGGAAAGGAGTCAGTTTGTGTTGCTTCAGATATCTTCCACCTCTCTGATAGGAGGTGCAACTTCTCTTCTTTTTTACCCCCACGTGGAGAGGTATCATTGGTTAATCCTTCCACCCCCTAACGCGGGATTGATGGGAGCTGCCGATGCCTCCTCCCTCCTCTTTAAAATTTATGCGCCCACTCGTTTGGCCATCAATCACAGGGCCATTGCTCAGTGTGCGTGGAGCTCCAGCATGAAGCTAAGAGCACAGCAATTCATTACAGGGGCTTTACTTCTACCAAAGAACCCCACCCACAGCACTCGTTAAGAGCATCAACAGGAATGTGGGTTCGTTTCACGGACTTGTGTAATTGTCAAGTGGATGCCAAGTGAATAGTTTAATAGTAAAGTAATTTGCTTTAGTGTTGATATGAAATCTCAGAGCCTTTAAGTTGGAGTGTTTTATTTTTTGTGTCCCTTTCACCACTCATATTTGTGAAGTTTTAAAAACCCGACAGTGATTTGTAACCGTCCCTTAATTTATCCAGGTCTCCATCCAACACCATCAGAGGTGGAGGTTAGAAGAGTGTTTATACAGAGACTTCTGAACAACAGCCGAGGGCCAGTTTTTAGATACGAAACACTGTAAGATTCCTGAGATCAAACAGAAAACTTCACGACACAGACTGTTAAACTGGTTTACACCCACTGAAGACTGAAAGGTCACAATTCATTTTTATTTCATTTTTTAAGGAGGAAACATTTTTACTAAAATTAACACAGATGGCCAAGCATCACATTAGTTGTTGTACTGAAAATTTAGAAAGTGTTTGTTACAACCAAGCGAAATGTATCCTTACATTTTGAAAAAACACAAAAATAATTGTAAAAAACTAAATAAAAACCAGCAAGTTGCAAAAACATGGATTTAATCTAATATCTATAAGTAATTCTTGTGTCTGTTAACTTTCTGTAATGAGCAAAAAAGCATTTTTTTTTTTTTTTTATATCAGTGCTTACTGCTCAGCTTTTAACATGATTAGATCACATTTCCATCGCGACTTTGCTCTACTGAACTGCACGGCTGCCTTCATTACTGCTTGTAGCTACATTAAGAAAATGGATTTAGTCAAAAAGTGTGCATCGTTTTGCAACGGAGAGTAAATGTTGAGAAATTGTATTTTATTTATTTATTTTTTTTAAAGCATGTACTCTGGGGGAAGATATATTTTTATGTCTAAATGAAGTCAGTTCTGAAACAACACAAAGCAATCTTTTCTGTCTGATAACCACCAATGCCCTGGGTAGTATTTTAATCAGCTGAACATCCACCAGCTACATCTAAAAGAAGCGTTGAGACAAAATCGGGAAGAAAAATTTATATTTCGGCTGTTCCATTATGATCTCCAGAAGACTAAACGATTCTCCGGGCAATTGGTTACCAGAACTTAAAAAACAAAACAAAACAAAAACCCAAACACGTGCTTCTCATCACTTTGTTTGTTTGGATTGTGCTGTGTTGACTGCGAGTCCTAGGAAGATTAGTTGGCATGGAACAAATAGGTTTCTAATAATAAACAAAGGCACAGTGCCAC